TTATATATATATTAGAAATATAAAATAGTATTTCAAATAGTTACAGAATCTCCTTGAATACTTATTAAAAATGAATACCTATGGGAGAAATGGTTACATGTAAGTATAATATGCATTTCCTTGAAACTACCTGAAATGGAGAAACTATAGCATTTCAAGAATATTAATAACAAGTAAGGTTCATAAAATTACTAATTTAATTTTTCTGTAAGACCAAGTGGCTTACAGAATGAATCAAATAATTATTGAAAATTTTTTTAAAGAAATTAGAAAATTTAATATTCTTTAAAGATAATGCTAAAAAGTTTTTGACCTTATATCGAAAATAAATTAGTAGAAAAAATTGTTTAAAAACCTGTTCGGTGTCCATATTCCGGGAAACGCAAAGACGCTTATATATTTTTCAAGGCCACAAAAGTTTTCAGATTTTCGATCACTTAAATTAAAAAAAAAACAATTTTGTATTGTCCGCGTACATATAATTTGTAGTTAATAGTATCGCGAGATTTACAGAATGTATGGAGAACTGAATTTCGAGAAAATGGTACACTATGAAACGAAGTATACAACGCAAAAGAAGTCTAAAAACAACCGGCCCTTGGCGTGCCCTAGTAAGTAATGGTACGCGAGTCTCTTCGTAATTCGAACTCTAACATTCTTTGAGATTTTTTTACCAACGAATATTTTACTAGGAAATTATAGTGATACTTACATGTTGTTGCGACGTTTTGGCGAAATGAAATTAAAGTAAAAAGAGAAGAAACTTTCGTGACGCTAACAGCGAAACGAGGTACGAAATGGCGTCAATGACTTCCACCTTGAACACTTTTGACGGAAAACGATAAGGTTTGTGCTACATACTACCACTTTTGACGCAGTAACGAAAAAGTCACTAGATATTTTATATAATAAGGCATGTTTGCATAATACATATATTTATACATATTTTTATAATATAGATACATAAATATAATTAATGTGCTATTTATATAAACTTGTTCGATCACTTCAAATAACAATTATTAGCTACTATTATTCATTAAATGTACATACCATAATGAGACCTACTCCTGACATCTCAAGGCCATAGCTTGAGCCGTTAGCAAGGTTTAATATAGAAATTTTCTTTGCTCTGATTGGTTGACGATTCACTGCTAAGATAAGATGCACTGCGGATTGAATGCACAGTACAATGGTGGGGATGTGCGCGTCTGCTTAGGGAGTAAGAAAAGCGTGCAAGAGTAGGTGCCATGCCTTGTTATGCCATGCCATGTATATTTCTATTTCAAGGTTTCCGCTTACATTCTCATTTCACAGTATAGAATGCCTTATAATGCGTTTCCATTAAATATTATGCACTGTTAACAAACTAAATATTTATTACCAAATTCTTATAAATTAATTCAAATGCAATTTGTATATTTCACATATATTATTTCATATAAAATTTTTAAAAAATGTATACTTGGTAGTACACGACAGAAGTGTACTTGGTAGTTTCAAGACAAAATTAGGGTAATTGAAATAGAAGCACTTGAAGGTTAAAAATGGTCTATAAAAGCTTTAACTAAACTATGTTGCATTTAATATTATTATAAATATAAATATATAACGATAAATACTTAAAACATTGCTTTAAATTGAGAATATTTTGTAATATGAATGTTACTTTGCTAAATCGATTATACAGTTCCAATACTTCCAATTCTATTAAATGGAATTCAAGATTGATCAGAAATGAATTTCTAAATTATTTTAAAGACAATTTAGAGCATACTTTTATACGATCAAGTCCAGTTACACCGCTCAATGATTCTTCAATTCCATTTGTAAATGCTGGCATGAATCAAGTACATATGAATTTTGAAAACTATTTAGATTAATATATGTAACAATAACAATTATTTATATATATTCTTTTAAGTTTAAGGGGATCTTTTTGAATTATTATGATCCACCTGCAACAAAAGTTACAAATTCTCAAAAGTGTATTAGAATTAGTGGAAAGCATAATGATCTCAGCATAGTTGGAAATGATACTTACCATCATACATTCTTTGAAATGTTAGGAAATTGGTCTTTTGGGGATTATTTTAAGGTATTTCTCCTTCTGTAAGAAATGAAGAGAAAAAAGCTAAACAAAAGTTCATATTTTGCAGGAGGAAGCTTGTCTTTATGCATGGAATTTGTTGACAAAGCATTATGGTATTAAAGAAAGTAGTTTGTATGTAACATACTTTGGTGGAAATAAGCAGTTAGCATTAGAGCCAGATTTAGAATGTAGAGATATCTGGTTAAATATTGGTGTTACCAAAGATAAAGTTTTGCCATTTAATATACAAGATAACTTTTGGGAAATGGGAGTTTGCGGACCATGTGGTCCTTGTACAGAAATACATATAGATCATAAAAATCATGTATCAAGTCAATCTATGAGAGTTAATAGAGGATACTCAGATCTCACAGAGTTATGGAATATAGTTTTTATACAATATGAACGGTATGTGGTACATAATTAACATAGAGATCATTATTTTTATAATGAACTAATAAAAGTTGATTATTAAAATCTTATTACTATATATTAGATTAATGGATGGTACAATAATACCTCTATCAAAGCATCATGTGGACACTGGTATGGGATTTGAGAGATTAGTTGCACTTTTACAAGGGAAGAGTTCAAATTATGATACAGATCTTTTTAAACCACTTTTTGAAGCTATCCAAAAGTACACAAAAGCACCAGGATATACAGGACAATTTTTTAATGATAATGATATTGATAATGGTTATAGAATAATAGCAGATCATAGTAGGATGATTACTGTTGCTTTGGCAGATGGAATGATACCGGAAGAAAAGTAAGTCACTTTAATAGTCAAGTACAATTAATGCTGTAAGTTACTATGAAGAATAACATTTTCAGTCCTAAACTTAGAAAAATTATAAGGAAAGTAATTGATACAAGTGAGAAAATATTTAAGACAGAAAACATACTTCCAGAACTTTCATATACAGTGGCAGATACTTTAGGTGACGTATATCCAGAATTGCAAACTAGTCTTAAAAAGGTAACATTATGCAAGTACGAGAAATTTGATATATTAATATAGAACTAGGTTGTATGTAGGTACAAAAAATTGTTGAATTTGAAGAAGATTTATTTAAACGATTGAGAAAAAACTCTGGTAAAGAATGGAAAAAGATAATTGAAAATAGACCTGAATTAGCATCAGTTACTGATTGGATGGCTCCTGGTTTATTAAATGCATATAAGTATCTACAAACTATAGTTAAGGATTTGTAAGTATTAAACAAAAGTCATTTTCAAAATCATTTTGTTATATATTTTGTTACTTTTATAGGAAAGCAACTAAAACGTTACCAGGAAATGTTGCTTTTAAATTGTATGATACATATGGTTTAAATGCGGAAACAATAACCGAACTTGCAGAAATTGAATCCCTACAATTTGATAAAGAAATTTTTCAAAATGAATTGCAAAATGTCAAATATCAATCAAAAATGGGTGTAGATAAGAGTACTGATATAGTTCTGAAAAGATTTATAAATCTCCTTGAAAAAAATGATGTAGCCGAAACTGATGATACATTTAAATATGAATATGTGTTTGTTGGAAATAATTATGAGTTTCCTCCAATTGAAAGTAAAATTGTAGCAATAATAGTAAATGGTAAACCTATTCATTAAAGTTGATTACATACTAAACATAATAAAAATACACATATTTAATTTATTTTAGACAATTTAATATTAAATAATACAAGTAATGCTATAAATAAAAAGATTACATTGAATAAAAAAGATGAAATTGGAATTATATTGGATAAAACAAATTGTTATTCACTAGAAGGAGGCCAAGCATCAGATCATGGGACCGTTTTCATAAATGACTTAATTTTCGACATAAATAATGTCCAAAAGAGGAACGGCTATGTTATACATTTTGGCAAACTTGTAAATGTTGATTGCAAGTGAGTCTTAAATTTAATTTTTAAAGGTCAAGAAACAAAAAACACTTAAGTATTTCCTTTCTTCATTTAGAGATTTAAATACAAAAATGAAAATTGGAGACAATTGCATGGTATCCATCAATTCTGATCGTAGAAAAGGATTAATGCAACATCATACTGCTGCACATTTGTTGAATGCGACTATGAAACAAACTTTACAAGCTGTGTATTCGCGCAATTCTGTTATTCTTCCACATACTTTGAGATATCAGTTTATTTCTTTTGGAGATAAACTATCCTTTCAGCAGATTGAACAGATTGAAAAATCCATAAATGATGTTATAGAAGCTAATGTTTTTGTTAGAACAAAAATGTTAAATTCATCTGAATTATTGGCTGAAGACTTTGTGACACTAACACCAGGAGAAGTGTATCCTTATACAGATATTCAAGTTGTAGAAATTGATACCACTGACTTAAAATCAAAGTAAGTGTTCTTAAAAATGTAATTATTCGATTAATTACTTTTCTTTATATGGTTTAAAAATAATAAATATCAAATACTTTATTTAGAGAAGCATGCTGTGGTACACATATACATAAGACTGGAATGTTGGAACACTTTTGTTTTTTAAATTATCATTCAAAAGGAGTAGCCAATTTTACTGTTAAAGGAGCTGTAGGGAAATTTGCTAGATCTGTTAGGATGACAGGGGAAAATATGCAACAACAAATTTTGAATTTAAAAAATAAAGTGAAATATGAAAAATTTGAATATGAAACATTTCAATCTATGAGCAAAAAGATAATAAATGAAATAAACGATCTTAATGAAGAAGTACCATATCTCATTAAGATAGAATGTTTAAAACAAATAGAAGATTTGAATAAAGATGTTTGGATACAAGCAAAAGAAGCAGAAAAGTAAGCATTGTAATCTACGACTACATGAAAATGTTGGAAGCTTGTTATTTATCGCACATGTAATTTTTAAGGTCTGCTATAATTTTGGAAGTTAAAGATAGACAATCAGATTTCTTCATTGTTCATTGTTTATATAATAATCCCGCGTATATATCGCTTCAAGAAATTACGTCTTCCTTCTCAAATATTCCCACATTAATTATGATATGTTACAATGGAACAATAAAAGCACGATGCTCTGTACCTCAAGTATGCAAAATATATATTTTATAAATAGCAGTAAATTTTAACATGATATAAATAAATTTTTGTATACATTTTAATAATATTTATTTACTACAGGAAGTTGCGTGCAATACGTTTAACGCACAAACGTGGATGAAAATAATACTTGAAATTTTCAATTCAGAATATGTTCCGGTCAAAGGCTCTAATCCATTATTAGTTGCTAATATGAAGTCAACAAATGTATCAAATTTGTCATCAGAAGATTTATTACTTAATGCCATTAATGCAGCAAAAAAATTTGCATCTACAAGCATAAAGAGAGTGTAAATGTATTTATTATTAAATTGTAAAATAAATGATGAAATGTGTATTATATTATTTACATGTTTATTTATATAAGTAGCATTTATTTAATAATTTTATTATTTTGTATTCTTTATATTATTTTCATAAAATATTTTAAGTGCATTCCACTGGGGTGTGTGTAGTAGTATATGGGATCTTTTTGTCTTCATATAATTTACTGCTTCTTCAGGAGTCCATTGATTTTTCTACAAATGATATTAATTTTTAATTTATAGTTCTCTTACATATAATATTTAAAATTATTCTGTCATCTAACCATCATTAAATAACAGCCTACTAATGTTGCACTACGTGTTCTTCCTGCTTTACAATGTACATAGACACTTCCAGTATAAAGGCCATCACTATTAGGAGAACATTTGTTTATCTCAGTTGATGCTTTATGAAACTCATTAATAAAGTTTACACCACATAATAATTTTTCTTGCGAAGGCGATTGAAAAATATCCGTTGTTGATAATTGTAAAAATTTCACGTTATGTGTCTGCCAGTCCTAAAAAATTATACATCATATACTATAATAGTACGTATTCGTATTTTCTCTGCAAAATAAAATTATATCATATTTAAGACTCTATACTACATATTAGTTTGAATATAAAATAAGTACCTTTCCAGTATTAGAAAACAATTTTAATTCGTAATCTTCATTCATCGAAATAACTCCCGCAATGTTTTCCTCGGATATTAACTGAAAATTTTTGAGAAATTAATTCCTCGATAATTACAAAAGCTGTTAGTTTATGTATAAAAATGTTTTCAAGAACCATGTTTTTTTATTTATTATTTCAATGATTACTACCAATTAATTTGCGACATATAGTTATATACATACCTTCCTGGTCATACCTCGGAATGGTAAAGCGCCTAATACGACGATTTCGTCAATTCTATCATACCAATTTCTCGACGAAATTTTTTCCATCAACACATTATAAAACAGTGTTGGATAAAATGTTAATCTTGCAAACATTTCTTCTAAATTTGTAATTTAACAATAATATTACTAATTTTGTTAAGCTTTAAAATTATTTAATTATATAACTATTCTAATAAGTAAATTTATATTAATACTTCGAAAATTCACGTTATTTAATTTAATTTGTTATTATTATAAGAGCTCAAAATAAAGCAGTTTGTTTTCTTCCTCAAAGTAAACGAAGAAATATATTGGCCTATTACTGGGAGAAAGTACAGGTGAACCACCTACAACACGATATCGCTACAGCGCGGTTGAAACAATGCGGAAAATTTCCTACAATGCCACAATTCTATAATGTACGTATATATATTCAAAAATACGTATTTGTAGTCTTTTTCGCTTATTCTATATTCATTATCAAGTTAAGTCAATTTTTCTTGTGAGCAGTATTAACATGCGCTTATATTTTAAGTAATATTACATTCAGTGATTCATAGCACAATCAAAGAAAAGCTCTTCTAATTTCTTCTCTAAACGCAGTTCTTCTCTTTTCAGAACAGAATCTCAGTTTCTGTATCTTCCATAACGCGATTTCTCACAACGCGGTATTTTCAAGGAACGTATCTACCGCATTGTAGAAGGTTCACCTGTACTCATACTAAGGAAAAGTAACAGGATTTCTGTGTACTGTTGGAGGAACCATTTGTATCTGAACGGAAATTTGCGGCGCCCTATTTTAATTTAGAAAAAAGTTTTTAATGTTTTATTTGTAAGTTCATATTTTCATATTTAAGTAATTAATTAAATAATCATATGTCATTGTATTCTTAAACTGAAAATTATATGTATATATACATATAAACTCACATAATAATGAAAGATTAATCAAGAATATTCTGTACTATATTTTATATTTTAACAGTGCAATATTTATATAAATTTTTTCACAAATAATTCGTATATGTATATTAAAAAGGTATATCTAAGTATGTTATACAAAAATAATTACACAATATCACATTATCCTTCTAATATAGTATTAAAGTATGCCTATATTTCTACAGAAATTTTGATTCTGTTAATAAATCCTCATCTAAGCAGTATTTACCTAAGTCACCTTTTCTAAATAAACTAAGAAAATACTCTGCCGCATATCTTAAATCTGGTTTTACAATACTACTTCCATCATAATTTTTCATTTTTATAGTTTTTCTTTGTTTTGCTGCGATAAATGTAAGAACATACATTATATCATCACAAGGATTTCGTAAACCTAATTTATTTATGTATTCAAATCGTTTATTTTTATTGATCCAAAATAATAAATAATCTGCAAGTATGTCAGGGCCTACTAAATGATCCTGCATGCAACCAACTAATGCTAACTTTAGACCACAATGAATATCGTTTATTTTAGGAGTTAAAATTCCTGGTGTATCTAAGATGTATATGTCTGGATTTGTTAATATTTTTACACGAGTCGATACAGATCTTGTGACACCAGCCACTCCACCTACTTTTACCGCTTTACTTTTAAAGAGATTATTACTTCTTAAACGATTAATTAGTGAAGATTTTCCTACATTTGGAACTCCGATAATCATCATTGCATAAGACTTTTCTTCTGCTCTATTATAACGATCTGACTCTTTAATTAATCTTTGTGCCAATGGTAGCAATTGCTTAACTCCTTCACAATGTTCATATTTAATATTAGTAAATAATACATTAACTAATCCTTTATTTTTTAATTCAGCTATTAAGGATTCCTTATACCTCATATCAGCTAAATCCACTTTGTTTAATACAAAAATATGAGGTTTTATTCCAGTTAAAGTATTAGTAAAGTCTGCATAATGTCCGGAAAGTGGAATTCTAGCATCATGAATTTCAATTATACAATCTACATTTTTTAATTGCTTCTGCATTTGTTTTATTCCTTTGCCCATATGACCAGGAAACCATTTTAATACATCTTTATCTACTATCCGAAAACTATCTCGAAACATTGGGATAACATTACCTCCTGCGATCACCATTTTCGAGCGTTTTACGACCTCCATCGACATCATTTTATTAGTATATTTTCTGTAACAATGTTTCTCATATAAATTATTTCAAATTAATTTCTCTTTATGCAATAACAGTACCAATAACAGTACCTCTTTGAAAAATATACTTGAAAAATTCCCTTCTAAGTAACCTTAATTATAATCGGTTTACTGATACACCTTTTGGATATAGTAACTGAAATTATACATAATAATATACACAGTGATTACAAAGATTGATAATAAATTTAAATATTTAAGTAACTAAATTATAACTGTATATATATTGTATACTAAAAAATAAGTGTACATGTAGCATAATACGAATGTGATTCGTTCTATCAAGAGATATTTATGTGATTAGTATTGTTTGTAGGCTACATAGTTATGTATGTAACAAACAAGTGAGTTATTTCTACTTTACTGAACTCACGGCTTTTCTATACACGCACTATACACATACATATGCCATGCTGTCTAGGACATAGTATTTACACTACAGTCAAGAAATCTAGTTCGTCTCACTTTATCGAGTTTGCGGTCTTACTCTTGTCGTGTATCCGTTCACCTGGCGCAGCATTTGAAACACGCGGCATATTTGCGAATGATGTTCAATACACATTGAGATATGTTTCGAACGTATGTGTTTGTAGGAAATGTTTTGACAAGTTGAGCACGATTAGGCCTAGCTAATTATTATATCGCCCTGAATGTAATGTGAAAAAATGAAGAATATTAGAAAATAATTGGATGTTGGTTTTACCTAACAAATATTCATATAATGATTAAGACGACGTAGTTCTGTTATTTTTGATCGCCTGTTTATGTTAAGCCTTTGCACTCGAAACCATTTTATAACTCCAAAAGCAAGATATTTCTTTTGACCTACAGTATGTATTTCAATTTTATAGAATTTATTGCATTTCACGCGTATGGCATTAACTCCATTGGTTTATGTAACACTTACATTTTATACGATAATTGAAATATAACAAAATCTCTAATAATCTCTGATACTATACGTGTATTTATGTATGTGTATTATGTAGATTTCTTTTCGAATTGTAGCTGATTTCAAATAATATGTATGTTTATTTGATAGTTCAATTCATAATTGATAACATATAGTATTAATTAACATAATAAATAATAATACTAAGAAAATGATGTAAAATCAATATTTTTAATATAAAAATTACAAAAGAAATGTAACTTATAATGATAATTTGGAATAGTAATTTTTAAATTCTTTTTAAATATGTGTCTTTGAAATCTTAAATTTAAAAATAAAGATAACTATGGATGAAAAAGAATATAAAGAACATAAACGAAAAATTCGCGAAGCCGTGGCTGCAGTCGATACTAAAGCCCCAAAGCTCGATATATCTTATTATTATAAAAAGCGTAACTTAACTCTTGACGCGAATCGAGTAAGAGAAATAGATAAGGAAAACATGGAGTTGTTGAAAAGGATGAGCGTGATTAGTCGTACTGGAGTAAGTATGAAATATTTTACTAATTAAAGAAAATGATAATGTAAAAATGTAAGAATTTAGACTGTAAACATTATCATTGTTTTTGTATTTCCTACGTTAAATATCGAACTTTATGTGTCGAAATTCAACATTGTACGTGTAATTTTTGTATCATCTTATTAATAAAATGTGGCAATACAATACTATGTGTACAAACAATAATAGTAATTATTTAATTATACCTCTATTTTTATATACTATAGGGAAAAGTAGACTGTTGGATGCATCAAACTAAGTATGTAACTCAATTAGAAGATCAAGAATCGAAAAATAAAATGATTATGAAAGTGAATAAAACGTTACTGAAAATTATTACTGAAGCTAGTAGTGTCTACCCTACTGGAGAATTTATACAAAGTTGGAAAGCAATGAGAGGAAAAATGATGCATAGTAGAAGGCAAGTTATCTTGTTTTAATTTGACAATATTCAATTATTATATTATATTTTAAACAATTATAAAAATATTAATTTAGATTCGCTCAAAAGTATCAGGCTCAAACTACAGTGTCTCAAGTAAATGAAGATCATTGCATGATTAAAGATTTATCATTAATGAAAGAATTAAACCCATCCATTCGAACCAAATGTTTTTTTGAAATTGAAATTCAAAATGATAGACAAAAATTAGGAAACATAAAATTTGAGCTTTATGATGACGTTGTCCCACAAACATGTGCAAATTTCTCTGAATTATGTCGTGGAACAAAAGATGGGCTATCATACAAGTAAATAAATAACTGATAATAACTTAGTAGAAAATAGTAATCACCCTTATAAAAGTTAAGAAATTATTAGAAAACAAAAAATATATATTGTTTAACAGAAATACACCATTCCACCGTATAGTGTCAGGTTATTGGTGTCAAGGTGGTGATGTAACAAAATTCAATGGAATTGGAGGAGTTTCTGCTTTTGATACTGTATTTGAAAATGAAAATTTCAATTTACGTCATGCAGGCCCAGGAATATTATCTATGTGTAATAATAATGAAAATAAAAATGATTCTAAATTCAATCTCACCTTTAGATGCTTAGAAACAATGAATGGAAAGTGTGTAGTATTTGGAAAAGTTATTTCTGGGTTATCAAATATATATAAAGTAGTTATTTTTCAGTAATTTCATAAACTCACTAATGTAACTCTTTTATTTCAATAGTTGTATAATATGTATTTGTAGATTGATGAATTTGGTACAAAGACTGGAAAACCAACTAAAACAATAATTATATCTAAATGTGGTATTATATCAAGAAAACATTACT